CAAAGGATAATGTATGTGTATATTTAAAAAAATGTAGATTTTAATAAAGTAATTGATTCATAAAGGACTAAAAGAGGGGAGAAATTCTTAAATAAGACCATGTATATTTTTTTCCCCCAAATAGGATTATTTTACTCCTATTTTAAAACACATGTATATTTCATTACATTATTACCCCTTCATCCGTTTACGCACATCTCCCCTGCGCACAACCTCTTTCCCCTTCTCTCCTGCGCACATCCTTCTCTTTCTTCTTTGCGCATCATCGATCGATTTCACCCAGGCCATCGCCGCCGCCGACTTCGCCCTGCGCATCAGATCGACCGAGCTCGATCTCTCCCACGCCGCTGATTTCGCCGTTGCCATTAAGGTTCTTCTTCTTCTTCTTCTTCCTCTTCCTCCTCTTCCTCTTCTTCCTCTTCCTCTTCATCTTCCTCTTCCTCTTCATCTTCCTCTTCCTCTTCTTCATTTTTCCTCTGTTTTCTGGATTTGGAATTGAATTTTCCAATTTTCGGATTTCTATTTTGATTTTCTGATTTCTGGTTTCTGAGTTTTAAAACAAATTCTGATTTTCAACATTTTGGATGATTGCTTTGGATTTGGCCAAGTTTATGGTAGAAATCTGTATGTTAACATCATATTATGGCAGAAATGCTTTTGTATAAATTGGTTTTTCTGATTTTTTTTCAATACCTTCGTTTTTCTAATCTCCGATTGTGCTAAGAAAATTATTCCACTAAAAAATTTAGTTGTTTGAATATTTGGTTATTTACTTCATGTTTTTCACTTTTTGTCAAATTTATGGCTGTTTTGTGTTTATATTCCAACATGAATCTGCCAACTCTTTGGCAGATCTGAAACTCTTGTGTTATGGCAGATGTAGATCTAATCCTCAACTCTAAATCTGCCAAAATAATGGAAGATTTATCCCGCCTGAGTTGTGGTGCTCAGAGGATGGCGGCGGCGGTGGATGGCAACGCCGGTTAGATGGCGATGGCAGGGGGCGGCGATGGGTGGCAATGGTGCGCCGGTAAGGATGTGGCAGCAAGCGGCAAGGGCGACAACAGGAGGTGCATTTGCCGGCGACGGCGGTGACAGGTGGCGCTGTTTCTAGTGAGGGCGGAGGCAAAATGCGTCGGCGGGAGGTTTGGCTCTGGCGGCGGCAGATTTACTGCTAGGGTTTCAGTTGTTTTTAATTTTAGTATTTTACATTTTTAAAATTTAAAATATTAAAAGAGGGGTATTTTTGTCCAATGTTCTAAAAATGGTCCTATGAAACTTGTGTTACGTTTATAGTCCTAAATGTGCAATTAACTTTGTTATTAGTCCTATTTGAGGCATTAACTCATTTTAATATTCATAAATACACCCCATAAATTATTTATAAATACACTTTCATAACTTTTTATATTTATAAAGATACCACCGTATCTGTATCCTACTTTTTGGATTTATCGTATCCCCTTACCTGTTTCCGTATTTCTGCGTACCCGTATCCGTGCTACATAGGTGATACGGTAATCAAAATATGAATCCACTCTTCAAAGTGGATAGTTTTCGAATATAAATACAAATACGAAATTTTGTCAAATGAATATCCGTACTTTTAACAAAAAATCAATTAAATTTATGTACCTTTTTCGAGTCAATCAATTCCGCGGACTATAAAAAATGATCAATTTAGATACTGAATAGTTAATCAATCGGTTATCCGTCTATGTCGTCGTCCATCTAGCAATTTTTTACTATTTTTTTATGAACGTCCAAGTAGGCGGTTAACCGGATAACCGGATAACCGGTTGACTAACTATATTAAATACTGCAGATTTGATCATTTTTTATAGTTCGCGGACTTGGTCGACTCAAAAAAGTATATGAACTTTATTGACTTTTTCATAAAAGTATGTGTATCTATTTGACTGTTTTCTCATACAAATATTATTGTATTTGGTTCGAACAATATTTGAATATATTATGTAATATACTCCTTATAAATAATTAAGGAGCATAATACAATGTTAATTTATTAGTAACACAATATTAATAAATTGAAATTCGTAGATTTGTTTTGAATCTTTTTGCTTAGTCACATATATTCAAGGTAACTTAGTCACACAGTACGTTTATATTGATGTTAATTTTAGAGAAGTGTCTCGTAGAAATGAGATAAAAATGATAAATTATACTCCCTCCGTCCTGAAATTATCTTCATTCTTTCCTTTTCGGTTCGTCCCAAATTTATCTCTTCTTTCCTTTTTTGATAAAGAATATGTGGTTCACAATCATTCTTACACATTTCTCTCTCCTCTGCACAACTCTCCATCACACAAATCTCACTATCTTAATCTCCGTGTCCAGTCAAAACCGAAGTTAATTATGGGACGGAGGGAGTACATTATACGGAATAATTCAAAATTACTTTAATAAATTTGAAATTTAATTCTTTTCTGATTTGAATATTCGAATAAGATTCGAATATATTTGAGTACAACAAATGAAGCAAATATGAATATTAAAATTATTCAACGAATTATTTAAATATGAATAATAATGTCAAATATTCAATTTGTTTAAAATCCTAAATTTTAAGACTCAGAGTTAAATTTTTAGTCCGGTTGACATAATAGAAGGATAATTGGTTAAGGATATTTTTAATTGGACTATAATTTTCTAGTCTGGTCCATTTAAGTATGTTTTACTTAGACTGTAATCTGGTGGTCTGTCCTGGTCTGGTTAGTTTAAGTAGTCTGTTTTCTGGTCTGATTTGTTTAAGTCTAGTCTGGTATGATCTGATAAAGTCTGGTGTATGTGTATTTTTTAATTACGGAAGTCAAGTCTGGTCTGGGCTGATCTGTTTACGTCTGGTCTGATTTGTTTAAATTTAATCTGGTATGAGACTGAAAACAATTCAAGTAAAAACAATAAATATGTTCATGTCTATTTCAAATCTAAATAGGTTTTGCCTGGTTTGACCAGATCCATTTTCCTTCGTTAATCTCCCTGCACTCAAATTTAACCAAGTTTTAAGGAAGGGACGTAGTATCTTTGTATGGATAAAAAAACTCACCAGTGTACTTAACCAAGTTGTCTTTTTTTTATAAAAAGAATACCCCTAAAAGAATTATTGGACTACTATGTATAATTGTAAAAACAGGACTACTATGTTTTATTGGACAAAAATATGACTAAAAAGAGTTAAACTGACGAAAATACCCCTAATGAAAAAATTACGCACATCAGGTCTCTGCTGCGCATGTTTCCCCTTCCCCTTTCTGCGCAGGTTTCCCCTTCCCCTTGTTGCGCAGGTGTGCCGTATACGCATGTTTGGAGTCGACGCCTCCACCATTGGCACCTCTGCCACCATCCATGAAGTCTGCCACCACCGCCACCACTCAGCTAATACGCTGCCATCACTCTCCAACAAAGATTTGCCCTGAAGTGAGTCAATGCATACCTCCATGAGGAATGACACTTCATATGCGAGAATGCCACTTAATATGCACAATGACACAATAATGACAATTTCATATAGAGAAATGGCATTCTCAATATGACATTTTCAAACACCGTAATGACATAAAAGTGACATTTTTTTAAAAATACCCAATAATAATGACATTCTACTATTCAAAAGTGGCATTTTCTGGAATCATTGGTCATAGCATTTTGAGAATCAAATTAATCAAAATTGATAACAAGAAATTCAAGTTCAGATATATCTTCATTTGGAACTTTCAAAATTCAAATTTTTATTTAAAATTTGATTGATAAAAAACTAAAAAAAAAGCAGAAAACTAGGAGGAAGAAAAAGAAGAAGAAGAGGAGGAGGAGGAGGAGGGGGAGGAGGAGGAAGAAGAAGAAGAAGAAGAAGAAGAAGAAGAAGAAGAGTACATACCTGTCTTGGCTATTGCAGCAGAGGTCGTCGACGGCGGAGCTATGGTGTTATGAGGCTACGATTGATGGCGGAGTGCGGCCATGGTGGAGTAAAGAATCGCGGAAGATGAATGGCTTAGAGGAAGATGAAATTGGCGATCGATTGGAGAGGGTTAGGTTAATGAGGGGTAAAAATGTAATCTTTAGTTCTATTTAGGCAATTTAAAACTTGAAGTCCTATTTTAGAGTTTTAAACATGTTTTAGTCCCATTTAATATAATTTTTTAAAGAAAAAACTCTATTCCAGGCTTATAGCCTTGCAGGCGGGGGAGTAGAACTACGGTCAACGTATTTAACAAGTGATGAAAGATGAAGCAGATGATAAGAGAAGCAAGAAAAGGAAGAGGATGGCACAAATTCTTGGTAAAAAACAGAGCAAATGTATTGAGAAAGAAAGGACGGAGTCTCCTAAACTGCCGAGTGAGGTTTCCGGTCGATGGTTTGTGAAACGTACGGTCCCTTTCAGACAACCTCAATTTTGTTCGTGTCTGTGGGGTCCTTACCTCCGCAATATACTTTGCTATGCTCCCCCATTTTCTTCCCTTTTATTTCTCTTCGTCTCTATTCCATCAACAATTCTTCCCTTCTTCTCACTCTACTCATAACTGCATCCGACATGATGTTTGATATAATGATCTTTCAAGAATTGGCCTTTACTGTGGCACTATCTGTAGTGATCTATTTCATCTTCTGCAAATTCAATTCATGCGTTTCCCAGGAAAGGGGCAAGATTCAGGCTTTCTGCTGTGTAGATGCTAGTGAAATGGCAGTTTTGTGCGCGTGCAAAGATGAGAAGCTGGAATTTAAAGATTTAGTGACAGATAGTAATGATTTGATGGGTGATCATCTAGAAGTAGAAGATTGGGAAGTCAAGAAAAAAGAAGTTTCATCCCCTGTCGGTGGGGATGGCGGAACACCACACGAAGTATTTGATGAAAGTCTTCTTAGAAGAAAGGTTCAAGAAATTGAGGTAGAGCGTAATCTTGAGGATGATCATAAAAAAATTCAGGTTGAACTTGCAGAGATCGAAGGATCATAAAAAATGGATGAAGATGGGGTTCTGGAGGGAAAGACTAAGGATGAGTTATTAAGAGCAGGCAGCACGGATGGGGAAGACGGGCTGTTTGATGATTGGGAAGGCATTGAGAGAACAGATTTGGAGAAGGAATTTAGTAGTGCAGTGGTGTTTGTGGATTCAAAAGGCAATACTGACCGACTCATCGACGACGTGAAGATGCAGCTTTATGGCCTTCACAAGGTTGCTACAGAGGGACCTTGTTGCACACCTCAGCCAATGGCATTCAAGCTCTCGGCTCGTGCCAAATGGTACTGCTCATATACAGAACCTTTCTACGCTGTTAAGTTTAATGACTGATAGTTTGGTACTAGGATTTCTCATGATATTTCCTGTGTTTATTTCTTTTGCTTAGGATTTCTGACAATCTTTTTGAAAACCCAGCCTGTAATGTTTAGGCCGGACAGACGCTAATGCCTTTTTAGATTATATTTAGTACTTTTAAATGTTCTAAAAAGTGGTAGGCATGATAGGATTAGCCGATTAGGCAAGGTTAATTTGGGAAAAACGAATGTAGGCTGACAAGGAAAGCCTAGCCTATGACTCCTGTGAGGACAGTTGTTACATCATCTACTTAAGTACTGCAAAGAGATCTTCTTGCAAGCAATTCTTATTTATTCCCAGTTGTTTTCTGAATGTTATTAATAATGAAATGCAGTAAGTTTATCTCTTTCAAAAAAAAGTACTGTAAAGAGATTCATGGAAATCTATGGCTGAACTGCGTTTTGGCAGTGTAAATATTTAGTTCTCGTTGTTTTGGTTAGATTAGCTTTTGGTAAACATTAAGGCTATGTTTGGATTTTCCTCGCAAATGCAAAGAAAAACGAAATAAGACAAGTAAAGTTAGTTTCTTATGTTTTGATTTACCTCAAAAGTTGCTATTGCTTAGTATTTGTGTAATAGAAATAAATGAATAAAAAAGCACTGAAACAGATTAAAAATAAACCTGAGTTCGAAACTACGTTTATTTTTCTCAACATTTTCATACCTTTCAAATTTGTCCTATATTTTGATCCCTATTTTCTTTCAATAGTATTCATGTCTTCTAAACCAATCCTAAAGTATATATTACTGCTAATTAAATTTTGTAACCGCTAGGAATGCTTGGCAGAAGCTAGGTGACATTAGCCAGGATGAGGCAATGGAGCAATATATAGCACTTCTGTCAAGAAGCATAACCGATTGGAAGGTAGACAATTTTTCTCCCTACTGAATCCCCCCTTCATTCATTTAGGCTTTGTTTGGTAGTCTTATAACTGGTCAGCAGAATTAGTAGCTTTTGGCCTACGTACCGAGTTGAGAGGTGTGGAGAAGAGGCAGGGAGGAGAGGGAGAGGAAGACCCAAACATACTTGGATTAGAGGAGTCAAGAGTGTTATGCTTTTTCTTAGGATGAGAATATGACTTTAGAGAGAACAAAGTGGAGGGCGGATATTCATGTGGCGGATTGATCTTTTATCATCTTTTTTACCTTTTATCTTCTTTATCTTTTTTATGTTTTTTATCCTTTTATCTTTTTTACTTTGTATAATGTATATATATTCTTTTTATCCTTTTATCTTGTCATTTTTATGTATATCTTATTTCTATTTTATCTTATCTTTTTTGTTATCTTTTTTATCATACCTTATCTTTTTATGTTTATTTTCCTTTTGGCGCCGACACCAAAAACTTTTGGGACTAAGGCTTGGATGTTGTGGCTGGTGCTGTGACCTACTTACCGAACTTACCCCTCTTTGTTTTCTGCATATTGTTCACTGTTGAAAACTTGTATAATTGTATTCGTTGAAATCATTTTTATTGCATGAAAGTCTAGCTTTCTTTGTGAAAAATTAAAGTTCTTTTGAAAGTTAGACGCTCCCTGAAGTGTCTACTGTGGTTGCATAATGTCATGAACCATGTCACATGGCATTCTATTGTTTTTGGTCACAGTGGGCTACCAATGTTGTGCTTTACAGAATACAGAATTTTAATTCTCTTCATGGCTAATTTAGCACTCCCAAGTGAACCTGAGAAAAGACATGACGTTCTCTTTAAAACTTGCAATACATTTATATTATGGTATAGCTCTGGTTGTAGTTATCCAGATAAATGTTGTTAGACCCGCCTTATAATATTCATTTCTAAAACATTATTAATGGTTAGCCTCTGTTTGTTTGGATGGTCATACTCCAAGATAAAAAGAAAAGAATCTCCATTTCTCCATTGATAGGAATGAATGCCCAAATGAAGTAGGTGTTTGATTTTCAACTATTACATCATCATCGTTACCCCAGTGCCGCAAAGGCTCCCACCTAAAGTACAGTGAGACTGTTTCCGGATGACCCAAGAAAAACGCGTCGAAAGTTGCATAGACTGACTGTTGCTTCATAATAATAATAAAGCGCAAACAGTTTAGTGAGTCATTTTGCTTTATTTCATCATATTCTCAAGCCAAAAACTAGTGAGTCTTTGGCTCCATTTCAAATGATGGAAAAGGTTTTCAACTATTACAATGATAAAATATGCAGCATGGAATTGGCCATAACAACAGAATGCTGTTGAGGATATTACCCCCTTATCAAATCCTTGAACAGGATGAACAATGACAAGCTAGATTCATGGAAAATGCTGCCCCAGGAACTCCAGATCAGTTGGCGAACATTTATTTCATCATCTTAGGATTATTGCAAGTATAAAATGTATGGGTATCTATGTCTGTTTCTAGTGTATATTCAAAAGGGATATGCTGTGGCAAGTTTATGTGAATAATACCGGTTACTATGTACTCGTATTATCTAAATGCATTATAAGAAAATAGATGATTCTTTTTTATTGTAATCTCTTTATGCCATTAAAAGTACAAATATCATCCATTTAATAACCCTTCCCTCGCACAAAAAAAAAAAAAAAAAAAAAAAAAAAAAAAAAAAACTTCCCCAAATCATATAAACTTCACTCACGATACAGTTTTTTCCCCTTTTTGGGTTCATCACATCGATCATCAGGATTATGTCCACAAACCTCCCTTTCACTCAGCGTTGTATACACTCATAGTGGCAGTGGTTTTATGGTCCCTATCAATACCTGAAACAACATTGTAATACATCAATTGTGGATGTCTTCAGAATATACTGTATGATAAGTTGACGTCAACCACAACAACTTTTAATCGAGAAACATTTTGATCTAGTGATGTTACTTTAAAATAGTAAGGTTGTTTTATATTACATCTGTACTTGAAAATCTAAAAAAAGAATTAACTCGACATAGTTCAATGAGTATGCTTATCGGACTAGTAATCCAAACATGTAATTCAGTCCAATACCATTGAACAACTGAAGATGTTGCACCAGCCCAAAGCATCAGTGCTAGTCCTGTCAACTGGTCAAGCTTTGATCCAAGCCCATTCAAATGGTTAGTGATACAGAACTAACCACCGCTAGGGATGGACTGGGATAGAACCGGGCCGGGCTTCTGGATGGGACTGGCCGGGCTTGGGGCCTAAGTATTTAAGTCCCAATACCGGCCCAGATTTGTACCGGTACCAGGTCAAGCTGGGGCCAAACAGTACTGGACCGGGCTGCAGGACGGGACTGTGCATTCAATTAAAAAATAGTGCAGTTCACCCAGGACACGAGCCCAAAAACCGAGCCCAAAATCCACCCTTATAGCCACTGGGCTGGACCTATACAGCACCGGGCCCGTGTCAGCCGACTCATCCCAGTGCATCCCTAACCACAGCCCCTTTTGTTACAAATATTGAAGAATTTGGGGTGACTGTCTATATATATGAAAAAGATAACTATAAGAGATTAACAAATACAGTATTCTAATATAATTTGATCCCGATATACTGAGAGTATCAATATGAAAGTAGCAACATCAAGGTAAATAAGAAAACACGGTGCTTAAAAGTTCAAACTAGCACAAAACGATTAATGAATCTTTTCAAAGTAGATTGCTACCTAGCACCAATCAACAAGAAAATAAAGAACCAGAGAAATTGTACTATCCAAGTGAACAGAAGCATAAACAAATCTTACACCTAAATAGACAATATAAAAGCATTTTCAAGGTTCCTCTACATGATCAATACATTGTCTTCGATGTACTACTAATTCCACTTTTCTAAAGGATGGTGCTTCATGCACCCCCGAAATTGCTTAATCTAACTCTTGGTGAACAAATTTGACCTTCTTAATTATCAGTTAAAATTAATTATAGGGAAAATCACACATTTGACCCCTCAATTATCCACCGTATTGAAATCTCAAACCCGTGTTTCAGGTTTTCTAAATGTCACCCCCGAGTTGTCCGAATAATTATAAATATCACCCCTGCCGTTATAAATATTACAAACTCCGTCTGTTTTTAATTTTTTTCAGGGTTAAAATTTTCATTTCCCAATCCTTTATCCCCAACTCTTTATCCCCCTTCGCCGACCGACCCCTTCTCTAACCGACCCCCTTCTCTGACCGACCCCCTTCTCCGACCGACCCCCTTCTCCGACCGACTTTTCTACGCGGACCGACCCCCTTCTCCGACCGACCCCCTTCTCTGACCGACCCCCTTCTCCGACCGACCCCCTTCTCTGACCGACTTTTCTACGCGGACCGACCCCCTTCTCCGACCGACCACCTTCTCTGACCGACTTTTCTGCGCTGACCGACCCCCTTCTCCGACCGACCCCCTTCTCCACGTAAACTTAGGGCTTTAAACGAAAAGGATTGGGAAATGACAATTTTAACCCTGAAAAAAATTAAAAACGGACGGAGTTTGTAGTATTTATAACGGCAGGGGTGACATTTATAATTATTCGGATAACTCGGGGGTGACATTTAGAAAACCTAAACCACGGGTTTGAGATTTCAATATGGTGGATAATTGGGAGGTCAAATGTGCGATTTTCCCTTAATTATAATTAAAACATAAATAAAAATTTCTTTGCGCACCTCCATCTCCGTGGCCGGCTCCTCCATATCATTTTTACATTAAGTATGCATCCAATAGAATGATGCCATGTGGCAAGTAATCTCTTTTTTTTATAAAATGACATAACTTTTTCATTTTTGCTCCAATTTTTATAAAAATTATACCAAATTAAATATCTCTTTATGATCTTTCATTTGACACCAATATTATATGTAATTTAAAAAAAAAATCTAATCAAGTCTCATGAACAGTCGAAAAATGTATATTTACAATTATTTAAATCTAGTCTAGTCTGATCTGATTCTATTTGTTTGTATCTATCTTGTTTAAAATCAGTTCAATTAAAAACTAACTAATATCATTCACATCATAAATCTAGTCATGTAACATATATGATCATAATGTGGAATCAACATGGTGCTGATGTAGTTTTAAAAGGTGGGCCCCACCATGTCTGAAATTAGTTCAACAAATAAAAAATAAAGGTAATTAGTTTACTAGAATTAAAAATGTTACTTATTCAAATATATAATATAATATAGAATTTCCAAAAAAATTCTAATACGAAGTATACTTATTAAAAATTATATTATCAAAAAAACATTATCAAAAATATAGTATACAAGTTCAAACAAAAATATATTTAACTAACATTCTAAATTATATATAGGAGCCGTTAATTTATAAAAAGACAATTGCTATTTGAAGTGTACTTATTAGTTTGACAAAAATTAATTATTGGGTGACATTAATCTATTCTAATATAAAAGCAAAAGAAGTTTGAGGAATAGTGTTCCCTCCAATAAATGTCAACATCAAGTTTTATTTTAATTTTTATTGGATATTTTATTTTGATTAAAATACTAATTTTCTATTGGTTGAAATGAGTGGTGAGAATAGTCAAATACTTAAACCTTATTGGTTGAAATGGGTGGTGGGAATAGTCAAATACTTAAACCTTATTGGTTGAAATGGGTGGTGGGCATAATGAAACTTATTGATTGTTTCCAAATTCCTAAAAGATTGCAATGGACCTTCAGCTATAAAAGTAATGTGGATGTAAGAAGGTTTTCACATTCATTTATTCCCATATCAATAAATATATATTATTGCTCAAGTTGGTAGTATTATTTTGTAACAATTGATTTCACCAAAAATTGGTTGAAAAAACATATCGTAATTTTATAATTGTAGGTTGGACAGAAAGAAATAATTCAAAAGACATTGATGGAAGGGATATTTTTTAAATAAAATGTTGTATTTATTAGAGTTGTGCTATTTAATTAAATAAAAAAAGGTCGTCTTAAAATTATCAAATTCATAGAAGTCTATGTGTTTGGTGTGTGTTACATCTATGTTGTCTTTTGATATACCGGGTTGAGAAGGGCTGGAGTGGAGATTGGATGTTGGGGACAAATAATGGGTAGGCAATAACCGTTTGGAATTCGTTTATGGCAATTCGGGTTTCGGGTTGTTCAACCTCATGAATGAGTTCATCGGTCTCCCAACAGTTTGAAATGTTTAAAGGTAGGTGTTGTGGTTGTATTTAATGAGATTGAATTACTATTAATGACACATGACATGTTTGTTCGCGTGTGTGTACAAGTGTACAATTTTTAAAATTGGTGGAAGTGTTGTGTTTAAAGTGTCTTTAAAAAAATTTAAAAAATGTTTTAAGTGTGTTTTGTTAAAAATGCAAACAAACATCATCCATATTTTTTGGTGAGTGAAAAATGATAAACATAATTTTAGGATGCTTATTTGTTAAAAAATTATCCATCAAAAATTATCAACATAAACTGGAAATGAAAAAGATTTTTAACTGTAAACGTATGGAGTCCAAATCTGTAGAGTTTCGATGATGTGCTTCACAATATAGTCGGTTTTAGGATGCTTATTTGTCAAAAAATGTGTATTTGACGATCGATTTATAAAAAAATGAGATTAATCTTTTATTAAAAAATTATCAAAACAAATCTAGAAATGAAAATCGATCAGAAACATGAACACGGATCTTCCAGATCTGTGGGCTTTGAACGATGTTGTTCATATAAAAGCGGTTTGTCGTCGTTGCTTATTCGTGATAAACGTCAAAACGAGATGTGGTTTGTGAGGTGGTTGGATTTAGATCTTACCCCTGACATGTAAATCTAGGGGGAAGAATGAAACGTTTACGGATCCATGGCCATGGAACATCCAGATCTGTAAAGTTTGTGTGTTGTTAGTTATAATTAAAAGTTTTAGTTTGGTTATTCTTGGAAAACAAGAAATAGACGAAGGCTTGCATGTAGAAGAAGGAAAATGAACTTAATGTGCAGTCTGACTAAATGCGCAGATTGACGCCGTATTGTGCCGATGTTCGTTCGGTTGTGGCTTCACGGTGGGATAAGGGATGAGAACATGGCGATGATGTTCGGTGACCACTTCGTTTTTCCAGTCGATTGGATAAACTGCGGTTGAGCGTCATGGTCGTAGTTTAGAGAGAGGGAAAGTCGATCTGGCTAGGTGTCGGTGAAGAAAGAGGAGGGTTTGTGGGAGGGATCGTTTTCAGAGTCATTATAAACGCACTTACATCGAGAGGGGTTTACATGGATTATTGGGCTACTTCTGCGGCCCATTTAGTTGTTGAACACGGAAAACACATAGGCTGCTCTGGATCGGCCCGTACAAATAGCTTAAGGTTTCTTCAGTTTAGATGAATGCCCAAATTTGGACATTTAAGTTAATACGTATGAAGGAGTACTCCCTCCGTATTTTAAAGCTTGCTACACTTTCCTATTTGGGATGTATTTTTTAAAAAAAAAATAGAAAAAAATATGAATAAATCTATATTTTATTCGCTCTTTTCTAATTATTCGTATATTCTCTTTTTTAAGAATTTTGCATTGTAATTCTATATGATGTAGGTTTTCATGTATTTTATTTATTTGAAAATGGATTTAGTATTTATCAATTTTGACATTATTTTTAGCATTTTTTATACTTTTATTTATATATTTTGAAAATGCATATGTGCTTTTATAAAAAAATCAATTATGTGAAGTTATTTAGAAAACGAACCATCATAGTGGCTCAAAATGCCTTGATTGAATGTGTTTTAAAAATAAATGTACTTAATGACACCATTACTTTTTTTTCGTATATGGTCAACACACATGTGTGAAATAATATAAGGATCTCTGTAAACACTTCCCACAAATTTATATTCAAGTATAGTTTAAAAATAAAATAACACACTTTTACATTATTGCACACCCCCTATTTTGCATGTTTATCCGGGCAATCATTTAGAAAATGAAAAAAATATTTGCTAAATCATTTGTGCATTGTGAGGGTGAATTTACTAGAAGGAAGAATTTTAATTTTAACACGAGTTAGTGCGGGACAGAAGGTGTTAATTTCGAAGCATTTCTTAACACCTTAAGACATTAGCCACTGCAATTCCGGATACTAGAATACCTAAACATGACTTATTGTGTCATGAATGTAAATAAACTCAAAAATAGTTGGTGTCCCGTGTTGCATGGTTTGTTGTTGAAAACACTTATTAGTAGTTATTGTCAATTTTACGTGGTTGTGTCAGGAGCAATCAATCCGTCGAGCGTTAAACAATCACATTGCATACAATGACCGTGGAACAAAAATTGAAACAGAGTATTGTGGGTCTATAAAATGTGTGAACTAACTCAGTAATCATTGATAGATCATACTAAATATGTTTCATTTTTACGTCAAACTTTATAATTGTACACACAATAATTGTAAATGATTCAAGTAAAATTATAAGTTTTTTAACTTTAAATTTGATTAAAATTAATTGCATCGTAAAAATTTTCAAACCATGCATTGCACGAGTGCTCTACTAGGATCGAATAGAGTCGATTAAGGCCCGATTGGCCCAGATGCCCAATACAATTGGGCCGAACCGTGCATCGCACGGGTTCGGTCTAGGATCGAATAGAGCCGGTTAAGGCCCGATTGAAGAATTATCATATTTGAGTATTGTTTAAATAATGCCATAACACACTTTCACATATTTGCACACCCCCTGATTTGCCAATTTATCCGGGCAATTCGTGTAAAAAATGCAATTCGTATAAATGCATAGTCACCATATTACTTGAGATGTTTATACTTAGATTTATTTCAGTCTCAAACCAAACCAAACTTAAACAAACCAGACCAGACCATACTTGGATATTAGAAGTAGAAGTACCTGTTTGAACATTTTTCCACAAATTTAGATTCAAGTATAATTCAAGAATGACATAACACACTTTCACATATTTTACTCCCTTATTTTACCTATTTAGAGAGACAATTCGTCGAAAAAATTCGTGTAAATTTAAAAACTCTAATTGGTGATGAAGATGAAGGAACCATTGACAAAATGACAAGACTCATAATGTTGTATTCAAAGAAGCGTTCAACAATATTTAGGTTTACTTTAAATGCATATTTACAATGTGATGGTTTCAACGTATTTGTTGGATGTTTTTGATCTTTTAAGTAATGTTTAGTACTCTCATTTTGACCATAATATTATAAGTATGTTTCGTTTAATGCTTTTATGTATATCAGTATTACATGAAGATAGATGATGTCATCAATTGATAGTGTGATTTGAAGCACTAAGTACACATAAATTTGAAAGAAAAATTCTCAGACCGTGCATCGCACGGGTGAGTTTACTAGTTTATTATAATAATGCAAATAAAGATGTTTTTAATTGAATAAAAATTTATTGGTCTAGTCTAATCTGGTATAATGTTATATTATTTGTTTTATTTGAGTTTGGTCTGATCTAATCTGAACTAGTTTGCACTATTAGATGTATGTTTATGTGCAGGTGTTTTTTCTAACCGTGTTAAACAACTATCGAAAATTGATATGGTTTAAATTGAGATAAAAAAATATCTCAATTAAAAACATCCTAGATACTTTCATATCGTAGTTATATGATTATAAAGATGAATAACAAAGTGTATATATATATATATATATGGCCATCAAAATATTAACGAATATTGTATACGGCAAACTTAATGAATCACATCACAAAGAAGAACTGAGATACAAATAGTGGGGATGATGAATACCTCATAATAAGTGTGAAAATCAAGAGTACTATTTTTTAGATATTTTTCAGATTCATCCTCCATTGTATAAGAAGATTGTAAAAAAATTATAGAAGCATTAATAATGGGTTCCAAATATTTATATAGTAGTTGTTTGATAGTAGTTAGAAAGTGTAATCTTGATTGCATTAGGAATTTAAGTGTATGTTGAGAACTATTTGAAAACATTTAAGTGTATTTGGAAACATGTTACACAAAATTTTGGAAACATAGGACTAGCACATTGGGCCAACATAAGATTATGAAAAATGTTTAATTTGGTCTATTTTTTGTAAACATTGGAAGAAAAATGAATAACTTATAATATTTTGTAAAAATAATAAGTGTTTGCTACAAAAATATTGCATAGAGATTTGGTAGTGTGTGTTTGTTTAACTAATGTTGCCACCGAACAACTAAATTGATAGTACTAGTAATAATACGGAGTAATTAACTAATTATTTGTAATTAATGCTCCGTATGAGGACAAATTTGTCCAATTTTGAAAGAAATGGGGTGCACCCAGCATTTGTTGGGGTGCGCGAAGCTTGGGCGTTTCTAAATTTCCAAACTCCGGTAGGGATGGACCCGGTTCAAATTCCTTGACCGGATTGGATAAAGAACTTGATCAACTACTCCGATTTTTTATTCCGAGCTCGAATCACTATTGAATATTGGTTCACACCGATTTTGGTTTCAATTTGGCCAAAATGGTACCAAAATCAACAGGCTTGTTTTTTTTTCTAGTTCTTTTAAGGCTAAAACTAGGGGTGGGCATATCAGAATCGTACCAAACTGAACTAAACCGAACCAAAACTGTATCATGTGCAATTTAGTTTGAGTGTGGTAGTATTTCTTTCAAACCGTATTAAATCAAATCAAACCGAATAAAACCGAACATAAGTATAGAAATTCAATAAAACTTTCATATTTTATTAAAAACAACAAATTGAAACTAAACCAAACCGAGCTAAATCAAACCAAACCGAAATCAGACTCTGAGGGGTACGGCTTGTATAAAATGCAATCACATTCCACCACTTAATATTTACTACAAAATGATCCACTTTTATGTTTAAATGGTTCATTGAGTATTTAAGAGAACTACTTTTTCAATACATACTTCACATGCAAAATGTATACATGATGCGCAACGCACATCTTACTGATCTTGATGATTACTACTCAATCCAAAAGGAAAAATCGCTTATCCCAGGAGTCCCAACCCAATAATATGATGGAAGAGTAAATCAGTTTCTGAGTGAAGTGAATTAAATCATAATGCCACAAGCAACCACCATATTGAAAGAAACTCAGTCACTCTTGAGCTACCCATGCGGGTTTGATTATCACTTTCTATAACACCCTATCAATAATTTAACGTCGTTCTGAAATCTTTTGACAAGAAATCTTTTGACAAGATTTCAGAATGACGTTAAATTATTGAAGTGGTACAACCCCAACAAATATGATACCACTTCAATAATTTAACGTCATTCTGAAATCTTTTGACAAGAATATAGAAGTATATAACTACATACATAAAGATATGGTTACATGATCTTTCGACAGTTATATTAATTTGTATGTGGCAATTATTTATTCGGTATTACAAAGTTATCTAACTTTTCTAACCCCAAATAAATAGACACCATTTATGAATGTAGAAAAAACATTTATTTCTATCCTTGCTCATTCGGAGAAATTATGAAAGACATCGTAAGGCTACATTTCTATATATACAAAGGGACAACCATATATTGGTAACCCTAAGTTTCAATTTCCCTTTAGTCTTCTTGTCAGATGTTTGCCCTTGCACTGCCCCTAAACTCTAAAAGAACCCCATGCCCCCAATCTACTTCTTCCTTTCTACTTTCTAGTATATGTGTGTCGCTTTAATTAGTTGATAAAAAGCCAAAAGTATAATGAATATCTCAGTCTGAATAGGAACTGAGAGCAGAGACCACAGACCCCGTAGTCTCAAAAGTTGAAGAAACATCAGCATAGCCTTTCCAGGATGTGTTCACCTTGAGGGATGGGGACAACCATCTCTTCACAGAAGAAACAAAGGCGTTAGGGTCGGACTCTAGAATGGCTTCCCAATCCACTTGCACGCCTTCCGGGATGCTTCCAGTAAACTCCATGTTGGCCGCTAGGAAGAGACCAAGCAAAACCACAAACCCGACAACTGCACTTCCTCTTGAAAGTGGCATGAAATTATACCTGATAATGTCATATTTTAATGAGTTGGTACTCATTTTCATCCCTTGACTATTACACAATTTGGTACTAGACGATGTAGTTTAGACCCAGTGTAGTCGTAATGCAAATTTTGCACTAATTAAGAACGGTGTTTTCATATACTGAGCAGTGAGCACCAAAATTTGGTCCAAGTAACATAATTGAGGCTGGCTAAGCTGACTTAAGGTTTAGTGAATGTACAAAAATATCCTTCTAAATAAGCAAATAATGCTTGAGAAATGGGTATTAAATCTAATGACATTCTTAGAATGTAAATTCTGAAATGGGAAAAAAAAGTCAGCCAGATGTTTTACCAGTAGAACGTCATTCTCAAGATTGCATCCCTGACACTTTCTAGCACATCCAAGTCAGTTGAGCCATATGCCTCCCCACTGTAAGCATCACATAGTGCCTGCATATCCATTTCCATATCAGCAACCACGTGTACTATGCATGAATCTGTAGTGCTCAATAACTTTCAGCTTTTAATTGACACAATAAATTTCATTCAGACCCCAATGTCTAACATCATCAATCATTTAAGAGCTTCCTTATTGTGGAAATGTTAGAGGGGATATTAAATCTAATATCGTCAAGTAATATCTGGAACCGATGTAGATAGGATACTGGCGATGATGAGGAACTGAGGGGATAGAGATTTTAACTCCCACATATTAACACCATGGTGAGGCCAAGAAAATATATCTTGGAGAGTATGTATGAACATTGAGCAAAAACACTAGAAACATGGAATGTCAAAATATGTGAACATGGAATGTCAAAATAAGAAAAAACACATAGGTGGGCAGGGAAAGCATAGCATATTGGTGGGATATATCTGGGAATTTCAAGAATAAAGTTAATATGTGAACATGGAATGTCAAAATAAGAAGAAAAAAAATAGACTACACTTTTCGGCTTAGAGATTCAGGAAATATTCCGACACCACAGTTATTAACAGGATACTACACTTCAAATCCTTTTGAGTGTATATGCTATTAGGGATTTAACAATGCAGGGGGGGGGGGGGGGGGGGCATCTATTTAGCTTGCTATCATATGCTTGCAAATAAACATTTAATAATTTGACGTTTTGGCATGTACATATAATCCATAAAATCCACTCAACAACTCAAGTACAAAAGATAAATGTTCAGATAAAGCATGCCCTCTAGATAGATATACCTCCCATGCTGATGTCATTTCCATGTCAAATGCATCCCATCTTGCAGGTGTGCATGGTGTTCTTATTGAGAAGTCATATCCAACTTTAGGCCTGAAAAGAAAAAATATGAACAAGAGCAAAAGAAATCTGAACCAACGGGAACGATAAATAGAGATCTATACGTTTTTAGTAGTGTGATTCTTGTCCCTTCAAGGTGTTTTCTGAAAGAAGCCAAAAAATGAGTTACTGACAAAATATGTATAGCATGAAAAGGCTATAGTAAAAATGACAAGAATATTGAAAATAATACCCCTCAAAGGCCGTGCTGTAGCACCGTGTAGCCAGCCAGAAGTCCTCACCAATAGCTCTGTAAAGATCATGGCAAGATTCAGCACTCATAATCTGCAATTTATTAGTAAATAATTAGCCTATTTGTAAATGTTCAATATAAAGAAAACAGTAACCTAGATAAAACAATTACACAATTGAACAGAGCCCACTAACAAGAAAGTGAGAAGCAGCATGAGTTAGAAAAGGGTACTTCTTGTTTGGATAGAATTGGTTGAATTGAACTGTTCGGGATTAAAGTACAGGGAATTGAATGAGTGACTCGGACTCAAATGAAACATAAATGCATGCCGTTTGGAAGGATGATAATTCACCCAATTCCCGGGAATTGAGGAAATTCATGTATTGTGGAGAAATATGACGCCTCTGATTTCAGGAATAAATAAGGGAATTCCCAAGGATTCTTATTCCAAATTTAGGCATGCATTTGGTACTCGACTTGGATTTTTTCCATTTTTAGTCTTTGACGATTGCGCTAGAGACACTTTTGGTACCTGTCTTTGAAAATTACAATATTTAGTCCTTCAACTTTCATGAAAGTGACACTTTTGGTCCTTCAACTATTATAATAGTGACATTTTTAGTCCTCTACTTATTGTGTCAAAATCATAATGGGAGGACTAAAAGTGTCAATTTGGCAATACTCAAGGGACTAAATGTGGGAACCCTTGAAGTCGGGGACTAAAAGTGTCTAGCACAATTGTCGAGGACTAGAAATGGAAAAATTAGAAGTCAAGTACCAAAAGTGTCAACTGACATAATAGTCGGAGGACCGAAAATGACAAAAACTCCTTGAATATATTACAATTTGAGAACTGAAAACTTCTTGCTCATTTTTAAGCAACAAAATAGTTTATCTTGTTCTATATCCATATCAACGTACTGAAACCAACTGTCTTTCTTCAATGAGTGCAACTCACCTCATGTAATTTCCCATTCCCAGAAAGATCTAGAATGTTGTCTCTCTTGTCAAATACATACTCATTCTCCTTTATTACTGCTTTGACAGCATTTAGTGTTCTGCATGATAAGAAATGTCAACAACTCTTGTAAAAGGCTCAGCAGTAATGAAATGCATTTGCATTTCAAATGTACCTTTCAAAATTTGGATAGTAGCGAGCCACCTTGGCTTTCCCGAGAATGAGGGGAGTGTGGGACCCAAATCCTGAATTGAATTCTTCCTCACTGCGTAAAAGATGATAATGTCAATGAAAATCCGAGCCGCAAAAGTTTAGGAGAGAAACCCCAATTACTTCCAAGTAAGATGCATTATGAAATTCCTTTAAAAATCTCTTCCGTTGATTTTTCCATCAATAATTGAAACTTTAATATATAATAGAATTAGAAAAGAAAGTGAAAGAGGTGATCATGTAAATTTTAATGACAAAACTAGTCGTTATTGAATAATAGAACCAAAGTGCAAATTTCATAGTAGTTTGACGTTTGTGCTAATGTTAATATTCTTCTGGACAATCAAAGTCATACATACATATTTTGTACACACAAATATATACATGAAAGCATCAACCAAAAATGCCTCAACACATGTACACATCAAAGTTACTAAATACAGAATATTAGCAAACTTAAAAAGATTCGACCCTGCATTTATTAAGCAATTTAGCAATCTAAATTTGCACAAGCAAAGGGTTAATATGTTTAGAACCTTTCAAGTCTTTCAACACATAATGTCTCATTCAGTATCATGTGTATTGGACTGAATTTTAAGCTCAACTAATTTTTTTAGTGACTTTTGCAACCAATAGTTCTTCCAGTGCTAGTAAAGAAAAAAAAAGCAGGATGTCCTCAGTACCTTAACTTATTTATCCAGACAACTGGATCACACGGTTCAGATATTTGTCTCCATTTAACAGCTAAGGAATACAAATCATGCCACGACATTGTAGGGCGTCCAGCTGGTCTTTCATCAACTGATCCATATGTCTCTGACGAACTGCTAGTGCTACAACCAGCACCACCCCTGTTTCGACTAAGATGGGTTATCCCTTCCTTCCTCCGGGTTCTCTTGGCACTTTTGGATGTGCATTTATTCGAGTGTTTCATTTCTACTTGTATAGTACGCCAAACTCTTGATATTTTTTGTGCAATCTCAATAGCAGCTAAGCCAGCCATCCGGTGCTGAAAAAATTCATGGGAAGGATGGTTTATAATAGCAGCTGGTTTATACAATGGTGGGACATAAAATTGTGGATTAATGTGTATGCACAGCAAGTAGAAGAAGCAGACAAATGGTGGGACATCAAATGACTAGTCAATGACAAACTTCTACTGTCAGGTGATGTGATTTTACCATGAAAGTAGAAAAGAACAATCTCGAATGTTTGGATGTCAATGAAATTAGAAAATTACATATCTTGAATTAATGCCACAAGAAACTAAATTTTCCAATGTCGTAGAATATTAAACTCTGACAGATGAAAACCCAAGATTAATTGAATCTGAATGTGGCAGGGGGGGTTACTAGGTGATGCACATCAGCACATGAGACCCTCAGCATCATACTTTTCACAACTATGTTGATTGAAAGTTGGGATGTGTCTGCCAGAGAGTTGGACAAATCCGTACTGTTTAACTGTATATGGTCAAATACAGATTTTACGAGAAATTTGGGGAATACACAGTGTAGCAGATCAGGAAGAATAGCAAAGTTATGATGAAACCAACAAGTAAAAAATGCAGGCAAAACTGGACATGATATTGAAGCTTGGGAATAAATCCTTAAGACCTTAAGTCAATCACCTGACGCCTATTTGGCAAGAAGCCAGGACAATGATATTGTATGCTCCTACCAATGGAATCTGCTGCCTGTAGAAGAGCGTGTGCTTGCTTTGTTGGGGCAGAATGTAGCCTTCTCAGTTTTCCCTTCTTCAAGGATTCCTTCAGGGGAGGTTGCCTGTAAACTTTTTCGCACACATCTTTTGGGTGCAGTCTTTTGCACCAATATTCCTAAATAAATAAGTCAAAAACAATATTATATTGCTTTATGAAGCAGAACCCAAGATTATTTTATACTTGGACACAGTTCATATAAAATATTATTCATCTGTCAAATTAATGTTTCAGAGTAATATGTCTCTAACATCATAGATAAATGAAAATGATTAAAGAAGAAAAACCAAATGTCACTTCTGAAGGACTGAAACACCAAAAGATAAAGAAACCGCTGTTGCATTCATTCTACAACCAGAATACATGGGTTGATAGTATTCCACGTACTTTAAATAGGGGGTCAATATCTCCATCAATATCAAACAACCAAAACTGACTGTTGAGCTTTGAAGCTGTATACAGTGCAATTTCTTTCTGCAAAATAGAATTTCAATGTGATATGAGTAACCGAGATCAAAACAAAAAGCAGCAGACAATACCACATACACAAATTTGGCGCAAGGACTGCGATGGTGGCATGATGTAATACAACCATAGCAGTCAATGGCGAGATATGGCGCGCGCCATATGCGCCATCGCCATGAAAAAGTTGTCGTCCCCATAGAGCCAGCCATATGAGCCTAATGTGCCACTCGTATATGCGCCATCGCCATGCGCCATGAAAAATGCCTTTAAACCATGGCGATCGCCATGCGCCATGACAACTATGAATACAACCAAACATGGATAATTGGAAATCCAAAGGAGGTATGTTGAAATGGAAATTGAAGTCCAGAATGTTACTCCATGTGTCTCATTTTATCTGTCCCACTTAGTATGTAGTTTGTCCGAAATAACACCCAATCACCTAATTCAAATTTTATACACCAGAAACGCCACTAAGTTTTTACTTTTTCTTTTTACCATTTCAACCTCATCATTTTTGAGGAAATGATATCACACCTATTTCAGGCCTTGAGGGGCACTTTGCAGTAAGTAGATCAGATTATTTTCACTAAAACCCATGCCAAAAGATAATGTCCCTTACATTTGGGATAAATGGAGTACAATGCTTTTAGATTATTTATTGCATAGGAGAGTGATAGACCTCAAAAATCAATCTCTGAAACCATTAAATTTGGATTCTTAGATAACAATAAACTTGGAACTTCTGCCAAATTAGGCAGGAAAGCAAAACTCTCATCCAGCTCGCCTCCCAATTAGTAGCATACCAGTGTGGGATTAGAAATTGCTTAGCTAAAATCAAATACCCAAACAAGTAATTGTTAAGTAGCATGTCCTTATTTCTTCAAAAGTTCAAATTTGAATAAAATATATTTTAAGGTTGCAACTTTTTTCCCTGAATGAATAAAAGCAGTACAACAACAACATCCAAGCACAGTAGTCAGAATCGTGAGTTTACTCCAAGTCTTAGTCCCAAAAGATTTTGAGATCGGCTAACATGAATGGATACATGATATCAGAGCCAAAAAGATAAGAAAGATAAAAAGATAAGTAAGATAGAAAAGATAAGATAGAAATAAATATAAGATAAAGATAAAAAAGATAACACAAAAGGGATATAAAAATACGAGTATATAAAATTAAAAGGATAAAAGGATAAAGAACATAAGAAAGATAAAGAAGATAAAAAGATAAAAGGATAGAAAAGATGAAAAGAGATCAATCCTCCACACGAATATTCTCCCTCCACTTTGCTCTCTCCAAAGTCATACTATAAAAACAGTAACTTACTTATATTTTACTCTTTACGAAAAAGTTAATATTCAGTCCAACTAAACCAGAATTTAAATTGGGCTTTAACTTATTTTTGGAGAAAGTTTGGAAAGACGAGAAAGAAGGGATTCACTAGCAAGAGGAAAAAGGGGAAATGAACTTTGCACAAAGAAGTAAATAAAAGAAGCATCACGACAGCGTGATTGAGTGTAAGAATAAGAAAAAGTATTTATGCATATAATTGGATACCTGATAGAAGGCCAAGCACTGAAGTACAAATTTTTCCATTGAATCTAATTCCACATCTAAAGCAGCATCATAATCCTTCACCTAGAGCATCAACAAAAATCAGGAGAAAGAATTCAGTGGATAAAATGAATATTAAATGTTATGGGTCTTTAATACAAAACAAGAAAAATGAATTTCCCATACTGCATCTTTATATTCTCCAATTGCATGATAGCAAGAGCCTCTCAAATACAAGCACTCAACATTTCCGCTATCAAGAGTTAGCCCCACAGATAGATCCTTGATAGCATTCCTAAAACACCAATGGATGCAATTAATCCATGGATACCACTTCTCAAGACTAAAAGGGGTTATACAACTCAAACTTTTTCCTTCTAGTTTTAAAAATAATAGACCATATTTGCAAAAGAATTTCCCTAAATCAGAGCAAAAACAAGGTGCTTTCACGAAATAGGAGTACTTTTTTTCTCTAAATTAGAGTGAGTATTGTCATCCTCAAACCATATTGTCATCTTATCTTTTTAATGCCTGATAATGCCATAATATGGCAGTATTGCTTCAGAAATCAGGATGCCAATATTTTACTCCTATTTAGGGGGAAAACATAGTACTTCTATTTAGAGAAAACGCATTGTTTTTACTCCCCTACTTTTGGAAATTTCCATTTGAAAAATATATTATCAAAACAATTTTGGAAAAAAAGGTCGAACAAAACATGTCAAGGGGTGTTACAACCAGTTATATTATAGTTTAACAAAAACTACAAACCCAAAGTTTCAAGAACCTCACATAAGGCTCAGGCATCTACCGCTTAACTGATTCATAAAAGGGATGAACATGGTAGAGACTAGGGAACATCACAAATGATTTCACTTCTATATATACCACAATTTCTTAAAATACCAGTATACCACCTTCGGTAAACACTAATCCGTTTTGTATAGAAAATCTTAAAGGTCCCACCTGTGATTTCCAATACCATGGAGAAGCAACCCACGCATATGATATCCTTTAGCATACCTATTCCCAAATGAAAACAGCCCGTAAATCTTGAAGCTTTATCTTAGCTTAGGCTTTAAATCACATTAGAGTTCCAGCCATCAGATCATAAGCACATTCATATTTCAAAAATCAGATGCACACACTGACATACCCCCCATCAGTTTGCAGAAGTTGATGAAGGCATTCCAAAGCTTTAGCAGAATTCCCCAAGTCTTTATACAACTGTAAAAGAAAGAAAACAGGCCCTCAGCATTGCTGAATAACTGGAGATAGTAGAACAGAACAGAACATAGAATACTATTGAACATGAATTCCTGATATGATTATGAGTCCAGCAACAGACCAATGCAATTTCTAATGACATCAATTTGGTGATACACTGACATATTGCTATTAGAAAACAAGATAATCTTGATAGAAGACATTGAGAAACTTAGAAAGAAGCAAGAAATAAAACTGATTACCATTTGTATCACTATTATGTAAGATTGGACTTCTATAAAATGCATGCATACCTGTGCTAGATGAGCCCAGGCCTCAACAAAATTAGGGTCTATGTGAATTGCCTTCATGTGTGCCTCCTCAGCCTTTTTATATTCACCAATTGAAGCTAATGCTAAACCCTAGAAAGGTCAGCATTTGTAAACAAAAATAAGCTAACATACATATTCAAACAGAAGTACGGAAACTAAAACATTCTACAAGAAATAGTAATCAGTATAGATAATAGACTTACCAAATAAGTGTGTGCAGATTTGTTACCCTTATCAAAATTTACACATGAGGAAAGATCTTTAGCAGCAGCTTCGAACTCTTTGAACTTAAAGTTCACAATTCCTGCACAAATTTCACTTGTCGCTTTGCATGATGGATCTCTATCATTGCATGTTATACATTCAAGACTTAGAGTACATGAGTGGTTGTTTTAATGATGGAATCAGATATATTAAATATTGTATCATTCCTTGGAAAGTAAGCCAACATATTAATTATAAATGTATAGAGATGTCATTGATGTGGAGCACAAAAAGAAAGAAAGAAAGCAAAGAAAGCAAGCAAAGCAAGCAAGCAAGGGCTGGGCAGGGCAGGGCAGGGCTGGGCTGGGCAGGGCAGGGCTGGGCAGGGCAGGGCTGGGCAGGGCAGGGCTGGGCAGGGCAGGGCTGGGCAGGGCTGGGCTGGGCTGGGCAGGGCTGGGCTGGGCTGGGCTGGGCAGGGCAGGGCAGGGCTGGGCTGGGCAGGGCAGGGCAGGGCAGGGCAGGGCAGGGCTGGGCTGGGCAGGGCAGGGCTGGGCAGGGCTGGGCTGGGCAGGGCAGGGCTGGGCTGGGCAGGGCAGGGCAGGGCAGGGCAGGGCTGGACTTGGCTGGGCAGGGCTGGGCTGGGCAGGGCAGGGCAGGGCAGGGCAGGGCAGGGCAGGGCAGGGCAGGGCAGGGCTGGGCTGGGCAGGGCAGGGCAGGGCAGGGCAGGGCTGGGCTGGGCAGGGCAGGGCAGGGCTGGGCTGGGCAGGGCGGGGCAGGGCTGGGCAGGGCAGGGCTGGGCAGGGCAGAGCTGGGCTGGGCAGGGCAGGGCAGGGCTGGGCTGGGCAGGGCTGAGCTGGGCAGGGGGGGCGGGGGGCGGGCGGGGGCGGGGAAGGGCGGGGCCGGGGCAGGCAAGCAAGAAAGAAAGACATACTACTCATTCGTGCAAAGGAATTCAATATAGGAATAAAAAACACTAAGGTCCCCCAAACAAATTTACGGAGATGAAACCTAAGACACCCAGGAATGAACATTTGATTTTTCAATTATGACAAAAGCCTAGAAAATTACCCTTTTCATGCAATATGTCAGCTGAATTTGGTTCAAACTCCAAAGCTTTAGCCAAATCAGTAACTGCCTGGTATTAAAGATAATCAGAAATCTCATGCGAATATATATGACTTCTGCATTCATTATGTTTTTCAATCACAAAGTGATTCTTCTCAACAGTTACAGTTTCCTTTATGGAGAAAGAAATACAGGAGCTTGATATTCCAAAAAAAATCTCACCTTGACAGACTCCCCCAAGGCAGCACGGGCCTGCCCTCTGCGTTTCCAAGCCTCACCTGCTGATGGATTTGAGTCTATAGCCTACCGGAACAACAAAATAGTCATAACTCATAATCAAAGATTTGGCAACTGCTCCACCTAGGAGTCAAATAGTTGAAGATGTGCTTACCAGTGTAAAATCAGAAATAGCTGCATGAAGTTCTCTCTTAAATGCATATGCCGTGCCCCTTCCTATTAATGCCTCAGGGTATCTGGGATCTTCATCTAGAATCTATATCGAATATATTAAGTAAACATTATAGATATTAGAGAATAGCTGGACATGCAAAATATGTATCTTGGTTCAAAGTAAAGTTACACGAAAATGGTTAGTATATAAGGATATCTAAATCCAAATTAGCATTTATTGACAGCAGTAGGGTGAATATCAACCTGATCAAATATGGATATAGCATCTGCATATCTTCCTTCATTAACCTGAAGTACACAGAAAATACATTTTGACCTTCACAGTAAGACGGAATCCTTAGAAAAGGGTACATAACTCAGCCCAGACACACTTCACAACTCAAATCAAGCCTTAGTATTAAAATTTGGGGTCTTTTGAAGGATTATATTTCAGTTCACTGCACTTGTCACTTAGCATTACATATTGTATGTACTCTTACTTAGGGCTCTGACATTTTGAACCCAAAAAAAACGAAAACCATTTTGTATAATATATAATAAAATCGTTATTTTTATTAATACATTTTTCCAAGCTCAAGTCCCTCCATTTAAAATACATGATCTGGCCCAAATTTTACCATCATGTGTAGATGAAAGTAGTATACTGCATTGCTGATTTTTCATTGCAGAATTGTGACATTAAGAATATCTCTTAATTTTCATGACTGTTTTTTAGGACTACAGGTTTTTAATTTAGTTTACAAGCAACTTTGACTTGTGATTGTTTTTAATTGTCGATGTGGTTTTTCCATTTTGTGATGCACGATTATTAAGGATGATTCATGTATTAATTTTTGAATTCCATTTTAGTTCAAATGTTTCGGTGTTTTACCCGAAACCGAACTGAAAAACGGTTACCAAACAATCGGGTCCCAATTTTCATTTTTAAGAGAACCAAAATGTCGGTTCGGTTTCGGTTTTTTCACTTTCGGAGTAAGAGTCTTACTCCCTTTGACTAACATAATTTCTGTAATTACTTCAATCCAAGTCAGTTTGAATATACTGTCACCACTCTTGAATCCTATATTTGTATGAATGTCATGTATGACAACTGTAACAGCAGCAGCATTCATGAGCAAAGAAAGGATAAATTATCTTTCTTGTAGACTTAAAAAACTTCAGATATGTGAGTACCCGCGCTTCTCGCTTTAAATGAAGTATAACTGATGATCAGAAACATATCATCACAAGCTTTATGATTGCAATAAGAAAATCAAAAGAACCCCACAGAGTCTCAAAAGTAATGCAAAGAGATTACTATTCATGAAATGAGCACTACTATGTCATTGTTTCCAGCATGCTTATGAAGTAACCAACTAATGAGTCAACGTAGATGGCAAACATTGTTCCATGTCATCATAATACCATGGGAGCCAGGAGAATGTACCTGAGCTACCCCCCTTGATAATCGTAAATCCAAAGTTACTGATTTTGTCTTCAAAGTCTTGCTTACGCAGAATCCTTTACCTCTGCTATTGGCATCGCTCATTTCAATACGAACTCCAGATTCATTATTCAACTGGCTCAAAATCTCTGATGATTCACTTGATTCATTAGTGACTAATGACGACCCACTGCATTGTTCGGACCTATCATTTAAGTCACCACATACTGTAGAATGAGAACCCAATGTGACAGGAATACCACAGGTTCCATTTGCTTGTTTGTGATGACTTCCATTTGACAGTATACTGCCCTTGCTAAATTGTTTTCTAAATTGTTTCAGTTCAGCATTTAACCCATGGTTCTTACAACTTTCAACAATATTATTAGAAAGAAGAGGCCCAGAGCCAAGTCCACACAACTGTGAAGAATTATCATCGCCAGGTATGGATGTACTTCTAGCAATTGCTAAAAGTTCTTCTAACTCCAATAGCTGTTTCAAATCAGTACACCGTTGAACAGCATGCTCATAGCCTTGCTGCCAAACCAGTATGGCTTCCGCTCTCCTACCCAACACAGATAAAGCATGACCTAATTGCAAACATTAGGCATTGAAGTTTATAATGCATTCATGTCTCAAAGCAAAGGAACTAAAAGTTGTCTATAACTCTAATGATTACCATTTCTTTATAAATAGAAAAGTTAGAATCTGAAAAATAAAGTAGAAACACATCATTTTACATTTCCACTTCTGTTACTAATTTAGTTTACTGTGATCTTTTTCATTTCCTCATAGAATATTAGCAGTATCCCTTCAGAAACAGAATCAGGTAACATATGTGATGCTTAATAAGATATACAGATAACGCTAAAAGCAACAAAGCAGCTCTTGTTACATGTGCTGTCTTATCTTCAGCCACTCCTTCATAAACAAATGCATGCAGAAGGATCCAAGGAAACATGGACTTATGGACTACCAAACATCATGTTGACATCTTGCTTTATTAAATGAATAGTTTTGATACAATTTTTTAAAAGATGAATGGTGAAAGGTGTTGAACAGTGAGAAGTATAACAGCCACAAGTAGGGTCTGGGTTTCAGAACATATCATACTTATGCATGGAATAATTGAAATGTCCCTTTCCATAGCTAATACGGAGTATATACATCTCTGTTTTTTCCAAAAAGATTAAATATCTGTTATAGATCTCAACGGACTGAGCAATAAAAAAAAGGAGAAGAGTCCACACAGATTTTACTTGATACTCTGTCAGTTTCACCCATCACCCGTCCAGGTAGCATGTAGCATGAAGGAAAAAGTTTTCACCTTTACAGAGATTTCAAACTAAATGTGATACATATAAACTGCTAAAGCTGGCTACAAAGAAGTGAAACCTTGAAGAACTCACCACCAATAATGGTTGACTTCGCTTACAATACCTACATGCAAACTTTGTTTATCGTTTCGCAAATTGAAAACGCTTGTCTACAGTATTGTTCTCGTATTGTTGCATTTGATCAGTTAAATTAGCCAATATAATTCACCAAAACACTGTAACAAAGAAGAAAAACGAGAACCTTTGAGTATGTAAGGTTGTAGTGCGGAAGAATCCAGCAGAATCGCCTTATTACAATCCTTAATAACATGCTTGTGAAGCTCCAGTTGACTATAGCAAAACGCTCGATTGCTGAATAATTAAATAAAGTCGCCACATTTGTAACCCATAGAAGTAAATTTAAGAATGCATAAAGTTCATATATTGCCGCTGAAATGAAGAGAAAAAAGAAAAGGGGAAATGAAAAGCTCAACGAACCAGATGTCTTGGATAAGGCAACTCTTGGAAATAAGAGAATCGAGAAGTCGAATTGCCTTTGACCAATCTTTGGCACCGCATAGCTTCGCCAGCTCGATTCTGTTAGCAACCGCCGACTCCATCGGAGAAGGAGAGTCTAATAAGCCGGCGGATGGGAAGATGGTAAAAGTGTTCCTGATCCAGGATGGTGTTTCTGATCAGCTCTTCTCTCCCCGTGTTTTTTTTTTTTGCAAAATCCTCCTCTCCCTATTGAAAAAAACTCAAATAAGCCTTCGAAATAACCTCTCAGAGGAGGCTTTGTGCAGCAGTCTTCATTCCAGGAACAGTAAAAAAAATTTATGGTTTTTTTAGCTATCTTCTTCCTTAAGTTTAGTTTACCCATATCAAATTTCAGCTAAAAATTCAAACAGAAACACAGTCAAATGATTTTCTGAAATATACTGCATTGTTTAACTGCGCAGTTATCTTCAAACATTTATTTGACTTCCTTCTTGATTGCATATTTAGCTGAAATTTGGCATAGGTAAACTAGACATAATGAAGAAGATGCTCAAAAAATTTCATCAAAAAAATCCACCGGTAAGCGTCCGAAATGACGACAGCCGGACAGAGCCTCCTATAAAAAAGGTGATGTGGACTTTTTCGGTTAGTTCGAAGGTTTATTTGCAACTTTTCCCTAGTTTTCAACTAATAAAATATGCCCCAGAAGATTTTGAGAATTGAGAAGGAAGATGAAGGTTGAAATGGGTGGGGGAGGTAAGAAGCCAATGTCCGAGGGAAACTAAATAAACATATATCTTGTTTGGGTTTTATACATTCTGATGGTGGAAAGAATTAGGAGATTTATATATAAAAGTTCAAACTTTCACTCTCATCATTGTTAGGATGCAACCTCCCATTCAAACTTTCCCTATACTCAAACACAAGAAGTCGTGTCACCTTCAATGAGTGAAGCGCCATTGTATTTCCAGTGCAACTCTTTGGATAAGACATCATAGATAGGTATAACACCTTCATGCTTTCAGCAAGAAGCAAACTTTTCACTACACATGATGTGAGTAAACACTAATTAAGCAATGACTAGAACTGGTCTCATAGGGATAGATGATCATCACTCAAAAAATCCTCCTAAACACACCTTCTTGAATTGATAACTTAAACTTGTTGGAAAAATGTGTTAAAAATTGCATTAAATGGTCATTTTGGGGCAATTATTTGAGTGGGGTCCACTTCCGATTGGGGTCGGGTCAAAGTGGTTTCGGATTGTCCTTGTTAAGGGCTACAATTCGATATGTGGTACGCTCAAAACGGATAACGGGTGAATGAGAAATTGATTCTCGAAGTTCGCTCGTTGAAATGGAAAAACTGGGAAAATGATGAGTTTCTAGTGTGTTTTATCCCACACCGAAAAACTCAAGGGATTTTCACCCCCTTATAAAGGGAAGCCTCTTTTAAGGAGTTAAGATTCCTAAAGGGAAAGGCTCTCTCTTACGCGCAAAGGGGGGTGCTGATCAAATCCCGAAACGGAGAAAAAAAACCGCGACTCGTGTGCGCCGGCGACCTGCGGACACGAATGTCGTCCAAAAATCTATCTCTCGAGAGATACGGTTAAGTTTTGTTTTCTTCCCGAAACGTTTATTTTTCCTAGAAGTGCTCCGGACAGAAGACCTCGAACAGAACCCCTCGAAGGGGTGTTCTGTTGGCTTCGTACATAAACCCTCCAAGGGGTGTTCTGTTGGCTTCGGACAGAAACCCTCCAAGGGGTCTTCTGCTGGCTTCGGACAGAAACCCTCCAAGGGGTATTCTGCTGGCTTCGGACAGAAACCCTCCAAGGGGTATTCTGCTGGGGTCTTCTGTCGCGCACTTCTTCCGTTACAACAATTAATGTCCAATGTTCTTCTCTTTTAATGCTGCGTTAAATGGACAGTTTATGGACGATTCAATGCCCAACAGACTGGTCATTGATGTCCAACGTTCAGGTCCATTAACACCCCATTTAACACACAACAAATCCTCCTATAAATAGCTGGCAGGTGCTTTGCAACAAACACACGGTTTGACAACGCACAACACTTTCCTCACGTTTTCTTGAGCTAAAAACTCTTCCAGCTACTCCCAAAATTCCTTCTGTGTTCATACGTGGTTCTCGTTCGCTGGAACTCTTGTTTGTGTGCTCAAACATTAGTTCGTAGTCATCGTATCCTGGGAAACGATTGTTGCAACGCTCCTAGCACCGTGGGAGGCAACAAATACGTTTTAAGGAAATCGTGCGTAGCACGAGCTTTGACTAATTCTGCTTCATCTCCTTTCTTGTTTTTCTCTAGTCATTTTATTTAATTAATTTATTTTAATTATTTTTCTTTATTTTCCGAAACACACCCAACAAAACTCACCCCCCATAAAGGATGATCTTGAATGTGAGAAGTGAACTGTGGAAACAACTCTAAATTTGGGAGGCTTTAATCAAATGACGATCCTCTAACCCCCTAGAGCTAGCTGGAATGGTTGTGTAATCAATGTTTCATCTCACTTCAAATAGTAATATGAAAGTTAACTTCTTTCTTAGAATATCATGTTGCTTAACCAATATGTGATGGTTCTTTGGGGATATGTGTTGAAGCTTAAAGATATGCGCAACCAATTGAGAGTGACTCTTTATGCATGCACAAATGGAATTGAAAATCTAACAGATTATTCGAATCACTCGAATGTTATCTCTCAAAAGTTTGAACTTTGAAGTGAGTTTGCGAAAGCTCAAGATTTAATCTTTGACCTAATACATTAAGGGGAAAATGGTTTCAAAATGGAACCTTGTATAATTATACACCTTTCACTTGTTTTTTTCTAATTTCAACATTTTGATCTTTTTCCATAAAAAGCAATTTGAGCTTCTTGACTATTGTATTCTTTTTCCTTCAAGTACCTTTCTATCATGAAAACATGTGGCATAGATGGATTGAGTGTGCTTGCTGAGGTCTCATCTGAATCATTGGAGGGGCGTTTAGAATTAATGGAATTGATTCTACTTCGTTTTTTTTTTAAAAGAAGAGTAGAATTAGAATCAGTTTTCTAGAAACTAATCTCCCCCGACTTCAAAAAACTGCTTCTAGGAACATTTTGGAGTACCCAACCGTACTTCTACACTATATCCAAATACTCCCATATATGTTTCTGCTTTTTGAAGAAGTAGAAACAATTTTGAAAAGGTAATCCAAACACCCCTGAAGCGGCATGAATGATGAAACGTGTTTGACTTGAATTGCACTAAATAAATGAATTAATTAGTAAATATACTAAAAATAAAAAATAAATATATAGTAAAAACTATTCATTTGAATGCCAATTAATAGTTCATTACAAATCAAACATATTTCAGCTAAACTTCATTAGCTAACATGAGACACTTAAGGAAATCGCCTACCTAAGCGAATACATCAGTGGAATTCCCTCCCTACTCACATCTAAATTTACCATACTCCAAAAATGAAAAACAAAAAGGAAAAAAGACTGCTAGCATTGAGTCAATACACGCTGCATGTGGATCTAATGATTCAAATGATTTTTATTTCTTCACATTTGGGTTTGTGAATGACATTTAAATATGTCAGCGGGCTCCTTGAAGGCACTCAACATACCATGCTACTGCTAGCCGTACAGGCTTATTTATATATAATAAGTAGCTTTCAGGGCCCAAAATTTTCTTCCTTCTTATCCAATATCCCACTTAGTCAGCATTCTGCCAAGCACAACTTTTGACTGATGATAAAGGGTTTCTTGAATAAATTCCCTACATTTGGGATGCTGCCTTCCTGGGCTTGGAAAATGGTAGTTCCCGTGAAATGAGGTATATTATGAATGCAATATATGCAGCTGTGAATGTGAATATGGCAGATGAAAACGCCACTCCTCTAATTTCTGAAGAGAAAAAGTCTACCATAAGGTACCCATTGATTGCGATCAAAAAGATTGCTACTAGCCATGATATGACCTACATACAAGAGGCAAACCACAGAAGAAATTAGAAGGAAATCCATAAACACATACCAGGCTAAGAACAAAGAAAAGGTTATTTAACTTATTTCGGTAGCATTCACATTATGAAAAGAAATTGCTCCGTACAGGAAAAAAAACAGGTTTTTTCTCTATAACATTTATGTTTTAATCCTACAGTGTAATTCTTTTAGTTCTGTTAAAAGGAAGAAAGTCTAATAATTAGTATCCAACATTCCAACATAGCATTATATCGTAAGTATACATGTATAATCCATGGGTGAATGACTCACTGATCACCCTCAGCCACAAACGTGATCTGCTGACTAGGGTTTCAGTAAACCATGGTATTGTCTAGTAGACGGTGGTCATTGAGTCAGTGACTCGACTCACTAACTTTAGGGAGATTGCCATGGCGGGAAGATGTTGGCTAGTAGGGGGCGGCAGCACTGGCCGACAAAGGTAAGGGTTGGCAGCTGATAGGGATGGACCTGGACCAGTTCTGGTTAAAGGTTCAAAATTATACATACCCTTAACCAGGACAAGGAAATCCGGGTACAGGTCCTGTTCCAGTTTACCTGTCCGGATCAGGTTCAATTCTTAGAGTAATTGATCACTGATGGGGGGATGGGGGGAGCGGTTGTGCTTGAGGATTATAGATCAAGAAAATCATAACCATACCTTGAGAATAGGGCCAATAGTGAAAACACCCATGAGCTGTTCCTTTGAGACTAAACAAAGAAGGGGAATGAGAGCAAATGGGATTTGGATTGCCTGAAGAACATTGAGCCACTCATTTAGAACATCCAACAAGTCCTCAGAAGTGTCAAAGGCAAGTGCAACAATCAGAGTTGGGATAATAGCACAACTTCTTGTTATAAATGCTCTTTGCCATTTCTTCAAGCTCATATGAAGGAAGCCTCCCATAATAAACTGCCCAGCATAGGTACCTGTGATAGTACTACTTTGCCCTGCAGCCAACAACCCAATAGCCCATATGAAAATAATGGGAAACAACCCACCACCATACTTATCCTGCAGAAACTGCCCTGCATTCCCCAGCCCAATGCTGTTAGCCTGGTCAGTTCCAAAGAATGACTTGGCAAACACAGATGTGACAAACAGGTTGATGATGAAGGAAATTGCAAGGGCAGCTGCCGACTCAATCGAGTAGTAGTTTAGGGCTTCTCGGACTCTGCCGGGCTTGCGGGTGTCCACCTCTCTGGATTGAACTAAAGCAGAATGTAGGAATACATTGTGAGGCATGATG